CAGCGGAACGGGCGAGGGTGGTGGTGGTTGGCGCATTCTGCAGCTTTTCGATAAGGAGGAGAAGGACGGATATCAATATATGTAAGTGCACTCAGTGCAACATTAATAAGTGATGAAAACATGCATCCCTGAAAAACTTTATAACAAAATTCTAACATTGTTAATGCAAATTAACAGCGTAGCAAGTACTGTAGTTAACAGCATGCTGTTACATTTACTCCACGGTTTATTAACAGTATTTCCATCACATCACACCTCAGCCGGAAAGTATGCTTTGAATTAATTGCAAATTTAATTTTTTCCAGTTATGAAACAGAGAATGGCATTTTGGCGGAGGAAAGTGGCCGCATAGAACAATTAGCTCCGGAAAAGGAAGGTTTACGTTCGACGGGCTTCTACGAGTACACCGGCGATGATGGTGTGCTCTACCGTGTCGATTATGTGGCCGACGATAATGGTTTCGTGGCGCGTGGTGCGCATATACCTACGCCACCACCATACGTTGCCAAACTGTTGGCATACTTGGAAGCGAACGCCAAGAATTAAATACATCAAATTCTATTTATATTAAAGTCATTAAATCGAAGTGTGTTTTCATCAATGAATCTCGATGAATTTTAAATTAAATACGTATATTTCGACAGTGTTGGTAAAATGATACGACTACTTCTTGAAATAAACTTATATGCACTTTCGGAGAAATATCAAAATATGTATAGTATACTTGTTTCTAAATCGGCAACAGAGCAGTCCTAACATCTACTCGAGAGTGTGGAACATATTTTAAAGTAATAACTAACAGCAAATCCTTATATAACACCCCTCCTTTCCTCATATAAAATCAATCGATTCCTTTTGCAGAACTTTGCCTGAGTACCGTCAGTTTGATCCACAGCTGAGTGACATTCGAGCTGTTTGCTATTATGGTTTCGTACTACCTGGTAGCATCACTGAATATATTTATTTGTAAGATCATGTTGAATTCGTTATCATATGTCTTCCTATGGCTGGGAACTCATATATGGTAGTAATAGGTATCCAGTTGCTCATGCTGTCTAGTAAGGATATTAACACCACTAAATCTGCGATAATTGTAACGTACTTATGCCCCTTAGGCATACCTCGTTGAAGAACTCAAGAGAGGAGATTTAAACAAGTAAGAAAGGGCTAAGTTCGGGTGCTACCGAACATTTTGTACTTGCAGAAATCAAAGCCAGGGAAATACCTTACAATTTAAAATATCAACCAAAGGATCGAAATCCAAGCACTGGCGAAAGAAAAACGAAAATCATTATATGCTATAATATATTTGAGTTGGAGTAGTATCGACCTGATCTTATCTGTTTTACCAATACCACATGCCAACGTGCCACATACTAATAAATTGTTCCCTAAGATTCATTAAAATACTTCACATACCATTACCAATCATTTAAAGTAAAGTCAGCCTGATGTTAGAAAATTTTTATATTTTTATATGGGGGCTATTTCAAGTTTTTATACATTTATACAATTTTTCGCAAAAAGATACACTTATATGAGTAAAATTCGCAATCTTCTTTTCTTTATTGAGATAACTCACATATTGGCTGATATATGGTATAAAGTCACCCGAAAGTTCGAACCTCTTCACATTTGGTATATGGAGGCTAAAGGAAGTATTGGTCCGATTCAACCCATTTTTGACATATAGATACGCCAATATAAGAGAAAGATTATCCCTTAATATCAATTATATTTCATCCATTTGAGAAGTTATTAAGAGATTTGTACTCACCAAATTTTGTAGTTGTAGCATAAGTGGTTTAGGATATATGTACATTAAACTTGTTAGAGCGCGGGCCAGCCCCACCTCTTTTAAAAAAAAATTGCCCACAAGTGATCCTTGCAGCGATATTCCCTGCCAAACTACAGCTTTATATCTTAATTTAGTAGTTAGTTAAATTGGCTCAATAAATGTTTTTAAATCGACTCACCTACTTTTATAAAGAAAAAATACAGAAACTTCACATTTGATGGTAAATTTTATTATAATTTAAAAGAACAGTAACAGATTTTAAGTTGAAAGCGTGCATAATACAGCTTGTGCAAGAACTGAAACCGTTGATTTTACCAAGCCACATCACTTCGATCTATGCGCTCTTGAAAACTTCCAAGGAGATCCGACGTTTACGAACCAAATTTTGTTCCTCGGTCAGGCACATCATGCGTGTAATTCGCCAAAATGCTCGAACGAGTCTTCGAAAATTGAACTCAACGATTGAACTATCTGAGACGTAGAAGCGGCCAACATTCTTTAAAAAAAAATGCCAGAAAGTATTCTTATGAATAATAATAAATATAATATTCTTCATTAAATTTTAAGTTTCTGCGGTTTTCTTCAAAAAAGGTGAAGAACATCAAAATGGATTAACGTTTAATAACATTCTAACTAATTTTCGTATTTCATATTACTTTTTAGTGTTGAAGACAGAACTAAGAACATTTTTCTCTTAACGACCATTTAATTGTTTCTCTAAGGAGATGGATTGTTCAATTTGGATTATCTCTTATAACTTTTCCATGTATTACGCCGAATACACACTGTATTATAAAGAGTTTTTTATACTTGGGAAGAATGAGAATCAGGCTCTGAACTATGCATTTAAGGACTATATTATGCATATAAAGGAAATTTTAAAATAGTATATCTGACATTATTTTAACACTTTGCAGGCTGACAAAACACATGTTTTTCAAATTTGATTTTGATATTATGAAATCGGTTGCAGACGATACACCAATGTTAAAAATTTTTCAAGTTTTGAAGAATATAAGATATAGGTCTTTCATATATTTTTGAATCTCGGTAACTTTTTTTAGTGACCATGCTCTTGAGTTCTGAAAACAACTAAGTCTCTGAAGCTAAAATTGGAGAGTATGGTGAATAAGAAAGCATTACATGGTTTTACGTCGATGGTTTCATCAATACATTGTTCAGGATGTCAGCTCTCGCTGCAAAAAAATTTCTTTTGATATCTTAAGTCACAGTTACCACTAGACTAATTTTCCTCTCATTCCAAGTTGTTGGAATGTTTGAAGATTTTCATCCTAACAGTCAGTTTTGGACGTCCCCTATGTTCACCGTATTCGTTGATCAATGGTTTGACGCCGAGCTCAAATAATATTTATCAACACACTACTTGGTATCTGCGGCTTTTCTTTTTCATCGAAAATTTGTACGATAGCTGTAAAATTCATACACGTGCCTGTTGAAGGTTGGATCTAACTACTTACTACTTCTAGAATTGAGTTCTACTAGGATTTTTTAGGTCAGATTAGATGGCTGATCTAAAGAGATCACACGTGGACGACTATTTGTAGTCTTTTATGAGACCATAGAAAAGAAGAACGGTTGCATGGCAAAATGCTTGGTAGCCAATAAAAATTGGCACACGCGCTTAATTTCCATTCTCGCCAGTTCAGTGGGATGTCTGAAGGTAAGCGCTCTCAAGTGTTTAAGTTTTGTCCTCCCAAACGCAGAACACTCAAGAAATAAGTGTTTCCACCTCATCTTATATCCATACATAACGTCTGGTGGGATCCACAGCTTTATCACATAGACGCCAATAGGGCAATGGCCTGTTAAAAGAACTAGGAAGAGACTAGCCGTACCGGAGGCTAGAAGAGATCTCTAGCTTTCTTGCTATCGACCTCGGGCCAAAAGACTTTGGCGACAACATATGGATGGTTAGTTGTTGAACACATGAGAATTCGGGAGCATGGACCGGCTCCTAAAATGCCTTTCCTTGCCAGCTTATCAGCTTTACAATTTCCTGCGATTCCACTGTGGTTTTGGGCATATCAGTCTTAACACAAACACACTGCTATTAATAGCGAAGTTAGGTACACCTTAACAAACCCTGAACGGACTGTTAATAAATTGAAGGCTAGTATTGTCACCCTGCTAGTGAATGGTCATTTCTCTGAAGGAGGCTGCACCACGAAGCAGTAAATCTACTTCAACATTAATGGCTGCAACCTTGGCTTGGAAAACACTGCAATAGGCAGGAAGTCTGAAGGTGGAGTTGGTTGAGAGCTCCTAACAGTAAAAAAAACTTTGACCTATCCGTAAAGAAACCTACAGCCCCTCTGCTCCAACGGCTTCTTCCCACTCACAACTCCCTGGGCGGTATATGGACAGAGAAGGAGCCAGCAGAGATCGGTTTGGACATTCCATGATCTAAGTGATCCGATATGAAGTCAAAGTGTGTGAGGATTTCCGATTGTTCAGACACTTGTTCTTTTAGGAACCCAGATTCTCTGAGTCTGGTAGCAACTTTCGCAGCCAAACATTTTTCGACATAGTTGGAGTGAACCTTAGTGCAGTACACATGCTGATATGCACCGCCCGTTGATGGCCCTCAAGCTTCATGACAAATGTGAGTGATTTTCTAAAGTCCTCTGCCACACAAAGACTCCATTTCGATGAGGAACCCCACCTTTTTCCAATGGCTCCTCTACAGCAATGAAACGCAATTATTGTTCTTTTTGCTCTCTCTTCGATATTCGGATTCCATGACAGCTTCCTATTCAGGATGAGCCCGATTTTTTAACGATTTTCTATATCAGAAGAAGTGGTTGGTACAAAATGCATTTTTCGTAGCCGTATTATTTCATCTGACTTGAAGACATTGTCGGCATTTTATTTTATTTTATTGCTGTAGACGAAAATTTATACATGATTTTGCATATATATATATATATTAAAAGACTGAATACAAATAATACAAAGAATTAAAAGAAGCAACTTTCAGGTGAGTTCGTTCCAGAGGCAATAAGGTTTTTGGAATCAATATAAAAGGTTTTTTGTTTTCTAATAACTATAAATGATGTTTGTTAATATAGAAAGTCTTCAAATCGACACGGCCATTGAAGAATAATAGAGAAGCTCGACCAAGCAGCTGACAACGATGGCAGCCTTAAACTATTTTGTTGTTATTGTCAATAAAACATTCATCTTCAAGTTTTTCACGGCCAAGATATGAGATATATATTGCCAGAGTAATATAAAATTAGTAGTAGGAAAATAGTTTTTCTTTGACCAGACCACGCCGCCTTTTACGTAAGAGTTGGTAGCACATTTGTCTGAATGTAATCGAGTACATCACTTATAGTCTCTTGAATGTTGAATTGCTGTGGAAATGAAATAAGTCGGACGGTCATGAAAGCAAAAACAAAAAGTGTGTTTGAGTTAGCTTACACTCGGAGCATTTTGCTCATTGTCATTCGTATATTTCACATTATAGATATCATCTTGGTACTCGCCCGAGACGTGCACATTAGTAGTATCTCCTTCCGCTGGCTCTTCTGTCGCAGTCGATTCCACATCAGCATTCACATCTAATGAAAAATAAAATTTTTTTTTTCTCAAAACTGTCACTCCTGCACTCATCCCCTTACCATAATCCGATGGCCATAGTTGATTTTCATACTTGTAATCGTAATGCTTTGTGATGTCATCATCATTTATCCACTCGAACTGCACGATTTGCCAACCGCTGCCGTCGAAATTGAAATCTACAGAGAAGCGCAAATGATCCTTCGGTCCCAGTTGGAAGCCATTGAGCGTGCCGAACCGTGGTAGCGGCAGCCCACGAGCATCGTGAACATAACTTTGGCCACGATCCCCATAACCACCGTTATAGGGCACCTTAACATGATGATATTTACCGCTTTCGTCGGGTATATATTTGCCACGATCAGCGCCATGCAACTCTGGTATATAACGACCATTACGCAGTGGATTAATCGGCGAGCCGTTTGTCTCCGTGTCTTGTGGTCGACAGTGGGTCGTTAGCAATAGATATAGCAATAAAATGGCTAATTTTATATATGCGGAAGAGTGAGAAGTCATAGTGCCACGCAGGATAATAGTACAGGTAAACTACTAGAGAGAGAGCTTAGCTTATATTATCGAATTATCACGTATACGCCACGCCGGCCACGCGATTCGACTCCTACAACAGTTCACACGATACTGAACTACGAAATTGCTGCACATTGCATGCGGTTTTCCTTTTTGTTGGTATTTATTTTCATTGGCTAAGCAAATATTTTCTCGAATTTATTAACTCGCACAATTATGGCGCTTGATTAGTGGAGCGCCACTTTGAAATTCAGACGTTATGAGTTATGCGCGTTTGTCTCGCCTCCAGCTGATAGTTTGTCATTGTCGCTCACTGACTAATATAGGGTGCTGCAATACTACCAATTAATAGCTATTGCATTTATTTTAAATTTTAAAGGTCGAATGTTCAAAGCTTTGCACACGAAACTAAAAGTTTAGGTCAGGTTAATCTGGTAGGCGAATAAACCGTACATAGACCAGTTTTGGACTTTTACGATACCAGATAGAGTTGCTAGATAGTAGAAAGTCATGCTCTGCGGATTTCGCAACAGCAAAGACCTCAGCTTGAAATATATTACAGTGGTCCGGAAAAAAGGCTGGCTTATGCCTAACTCCATTTTCCAGACATCCGTATGAATGTTTAGAGTGTTTCGCGTAGCTAAAATACCTTTACGCAAGCCATAAATTTCTATGTTTTCTTCGAACCTCCTTTCCAAGTTGAAAAGTGGGATCATGCCGTCGGTGTTTTCCCAACCGCCATTACCCATCAAGCGAACTTTAGGACACAATTTCTATGTGTAAATTCTCTAGCAGTCAGTAGTTGTAACGCAAATTTCGCTGCGCAGTTTTCAGCGAAGACTTCTATAGGTGGTAGGTTTAGTACCAATTCAAGAGCTGCCGTTGGAGTTGTTCTTATAGCTTCAGTTATATACAGCGCAGTGGGCCTCTTAACTAAAAAAGCTGAGAAAACTGAGGTCCACATGGACGATATAGGAGCTTATTTTCACTTAAAACGGGATGTGAATTCAGAAAATCAGCCAAAATGTAAAGTAAAGTAAACATATACTCGTATACCACAGATGAAATAACTACTTGAACTAATTGAATCACCCCTTATAAATTTATATAGCAAATATTATAGTTAACCCGATGCGAAAAGTTTTTGGTTATCCTATCTACGAGACTATTTTATGAAGTCTACTTAAGCTTGGAATTTAGGAAGAATTTTAGACACCGTGACGCTGTGATAGATCCATATTTTTTCAGGGGTTACATGGGTTAACGAGTTTCAAAAAATTGATTTTTTTATACGTTGATCCGAGTAATAGTTTCGGAGTACAGCCTTGATAACTTGTGCGCTTGAGGTTAGCTAGGGGTTACATAAATTTCCTCGAGTAAGAAACAGCCTTTTTTCATAAATGAAGTAATTTATTTGAATTGCTTAAACAGTATTCTGATTTTTGAAACTCGAAAACTAGTGTAACTCCTTTATGCTTCTTGTGGACAAATTATTGAAGGCATGTAGATTTGGAGCTCCAATATGAAATTATTTTTTCTCCAAAACTTTCAGTTTTGATCGTTTATATATAAATGGTATATAAATGGGCTGTACTGTGAGTATAAATGGCAATCTCTCTATAGTTTCACAGGAAAATGTGAACACAGTCTAAAATTATTAAATATTAAAGACTTCAGACTGCTTTATGTTATTTACAAACGCATGAATTCAGTCAAAAAATCGTTTTTCGGTAATTACCGGGTAAAGCCTTATTTAAATTTCCGTTCCTTACAGTATGGAATGGCATTGAGTTTACACTATTTTATCTGCTGATATTTTTCTTTAGAACTTGTGTTGAGAAATTTACTGAAAAATTTTCCTGGAGGGAGAATGTTTGGAATTTTTTAACTCAATTTGAAATGTCAGAAATGTTTTCAATAACAGTGTTTCAGAGCAAATTTACTGGTTAAATTTATTTTCTGATACAATTTGTCAGGCTTAGGAAAATATACAAATAATTCCGTCGAAATCTAAGGTTAATATATGGCAACAATAAGGAAATAATATCGCAGAAAACTGTGAGACGATATTTGCGCTCATCATACTTCTTAACTATTCTGAATTTAATTCGATCAGATGACTTATATGTACACTTTTTACTGCTATAAAAACCGCGTTATTCAAACCTGATTTCTTTGAAATAAATTTATCAGATATATACTCCCTTTTTCTAATTTGTGCTTACTAAGCCAAATTAATGTCACACTGCATCTTCTTTTGCAACACTGGAAAACCACAACTATATCTAACACTGTACACGTGTGTGTGTATTAATTATCACTCGAAGACGAAACACATAGTCATTTAATATGAAAATTATTACGCGTGAAGTGGTGTGGAATGCGAAACAATGTTTCCAAGCCTGCTTGCATTTGATTACAAAGATGCCAAAGTACACTTGCAGAAATACATATGCACACATAACTGTGTATTCTAGAATATATTTGACAGTTCGCTATGTTGTTGTAACAACAAATTCATATTTTTCCAATCGGTCTAATTAATGTGACGCCTCCGGATTAGAGATTGAAAGTAATGTGTTTGTGCCGTACGTGCAAAGTCGTATATTTAGTGGGGAATTCCATAAACAGAACTATTTCCGAACAAACTAGGAATGACGCATCTTAATTCCAGTTTATGATGAGGTAATTATAATTATTCTTATCTAATAAAATCAAAAATCTTTACGAAAAAATAGTTTAATAATAACTGTTATTATTTTTATACTCTCGCAACAAAGTTTCTAAAGAGAGTATTATAGTTTTGTTCACATAACGGTTGTTTGTAAGTATTAAAACTAAAAGAGTCAGATATAAGGTTATATATACCAAAGTGATCGTGGTGACGAGTAGAGTTGAAATCCGGATGTCTGTCTGTCCGTCCGTCCGTCTGTCCGTCCGTCCGTGCAAGCTGTAACTTGAGTAAAAATTGAGATATCATGATGAAACTTGGTACACGTATTTTTTGCCTCCATAAGAAGGTTAAGTTCGAAGATAGGCAGCATCGGCCCACTGCCACGCCCACAAAATGGCGAAAACGGAAAACCTATAAAGTGTCATAACTAAGCCATAAATAAAGATATTAAAGTGAAATTTGGCACAAAGGATCGCATTAGGGAGGGGCATATTTTGACGGAAAAGTGGGCGTGGCCCCGCCCCCTACTAAGTTTTGTGTACATATCTCGGAAACTATTATAACTATGTTGACCCAACTCTACTGAGTCGTCTCCTTCAGGCATTTCCATATACAGTTCGGATAATAACCACGCCCACTTCCCATACAAAGGTTATGTTGAAAATCACTAAMAGTGCGTTAACCGACTAACATAAAACGTCAGAAACACTAAATTTTACAAAAGAAATCGCAGAAGGAAGCTGCACCCAGGCTTTTTTCAAAAATTGAAAATGGGCGTGGCGTCGCCCACTTATAGACCAAAAACCATATYTCAGGAACTACTTGACCGATTTCAATGAAATTCGGTATATAATATTTTTTTAACACCCTGATGACATGYACGAAATATGGGTGAAATCAGTTCACAACCACGCCTTCTTCCAATATAACGCTATTTTGAATTCCATCTGATGCCTTCTCTGTATAATATATACATTAGGAACCAATGATGATAGCGGAATAAAACTTTACACAAACTTTACCCTTGTGGAAAAATTGTCGTGATCGGACTATAACTTTTCAAGGTCCCTGATATCGAACACGAAGAACTCAGTGCCTAACCTAACCTAACCTAATTTTTCACCGAAAATTTCGGTAAATCTCTCAGATATTTTCATGTAATTCAGAGGGCGTCATTTTTATACTCTCGTAATAAAGCTGCTAATATCGTTATATGTCGTCAGATATATGGTTACATATACCAAGTTATCAGGGTGACGAGTAGAGTTGAAATCTGTGTGTCTGTCTATCCGCCCGTGCAAGCTATAACTTGAGTAAAAATTGAAATATATTGATGAAACTTGTCATGCGAGAGTATAAAATGTTCGGTGATATCCGAACTTAGCCCTTGAGCCCTTAAAGCTGAATAGAAAAGGTATGATATTGATATCATACAAACTGTCGTCGCCGTTGCGACTTGGCTTCTATGTCTCTGTTGACAGTTATTATTTTAAAGTCGTAGATAATTTCGTCTATCTTAGAACCAGACTTAACATTAACAACAACGTCAGCCTCGAGAAAGAGTAAGACCATTACCCTGTTGGAAAGACTTGATGGACTTTTAATCTCCCATTGACGCCAAGTACAAACCGTGAAAAAAAGAACGACTAGCGCATTGTTGTAAACTCGGCTATAACCGCGTAGGCATTGTCTTCACCAGTAAAGAAGAAAATTATTATTTCACATATAATAATTAAATAATATAACAATATGTAATAGAATATATTTATTATATTAAGGAAGCAAAAACTAATCAACAGACTCACTAACCCAATTTTCACCAAAAACAAGAAAAAACCTTGACTTCGGTTGCACCGCAGCTAAATACCCTTCACAGGTGCATTTCTGTTAGTAACTATGTGTTATGTTTTTTTTTTTTTTTTTTTTTTTTTTTTTTTTTTTTTTTTTTTTTTTTTTTTTTTTTTTTTTTTTTTTTTTTTTTTTTTTTTTTTTTTNGTTACCTTAAGCAGTAATCCATGCCAAATTTCGTGAAGATACAACGTCAAATGTGAAAGTTTTCCATACAAGAACTTGATTCCGATCGTTCAGTTTGTATGGCAGCTATATGTTATAGTGGTCCGCTATCGGCAGTTCCGACAAATTAGCAGCTTCTTGAAGAGAAAATGACGTCTGCAAAAATAATGATAGGTAAAGTAGCCAAGCAGTCACTTCTCTAGATAACAGCAGAGGGATGTGGCAAAGGCAAGATAATCTCGTCCCAGAGGATGGAGAGGATAAGTGGCGACATTCCTATTGCCCTCCTCAGAAAGGACGGCATTACTAAAACAACGGCTCACTTCACGAAGAGGTTTAAGGTTACCCAACTCTTGAGCAACTGCTAAAGGATAGCACTTTGAAGTGGTACACCGACGGCTCGAAAACGTTGGAAGGAATGAGTGCAGGTATCGCAGGTGCACGTACCAAGCTCTCCATACCGACGGGAAGCTTTCCGAGAATTTTTCATCCGGAAGTCTTGGCCTTAAGTTGGTATATAGAGATAAACCTCCACCGGAACTATCGCAATAGCTATACTTAGCGA